CGCAGGTTGGACCAGTTTCTAGCTCTAGCTCCGCCCTGAAGAAGCATCTTGTTTGTATACACGGAGCACTGGCACCAGAGCCCAGCCTACTTTCAATCCAAACAGTTTTTCTTCAAAGCAACATCAAGGTACCTTTCATAAAAATGAAGGGATGATGCAATACACATATAGTGCATCAACAAGTACCAGAGCTGCTCTGCTCAGAATTAGCTTAGGCAGTTACTTAAGAGCATTGTGTTGGACAAATATCAGCCACATTTTTGCAGCCATGCCTACTAACACAAGTGAATGACTGAAAAAATATTAAATTTTTAAAAAATTTTATGGTTTGCCCTTCTAAGATGTTAAAATTATTAGAAACAGTAAACTTATGAAATCTCACCACTTATGCTCTTCATTTTGTTTCCAAGTACTATTGCCTCTGAACAATCTTTAAAGGAGATAGTTTGTGCTTAGATCTGTATCACAGGCATTAAAAACCACATCCCAGTTGCCTGAAAGGTTTGTCTTTAGGTTATTTAACCCCACATTTTGCTTGAAGCAGGACTATCTCCACTTGCTGGACAGGATCACCATGGCTTTGCCTACTCCTGGCTCACCAATCTCCAGGGAGAAGCCCCAACCTCCGGGGGCACCACTTCCACTGTGGGACTGCACGTTCTTGTGGAAATGCTCTCTGCAGAGAGGGCACCCTGGGGATTTGTGCATTTGATGGTGTCACTTCTCGAGGCAGAATTTTTGGCAACTATTCCCCTTAAACACAATCCAACAGACCTGGCAGGAAGCAGTCATGAAACTGCCTGCAAATTAATTTCAACAGCTTCTTGCAACTTCCCTAATTCTGTGTATGTAACACTAGACACAGGGAGATACTTCTGATGTTTCTTTAAGATATATGCTTTAAAATCAGTAGAAGGTCTTATCAAATATGGGGGTTTATATAAAGTGATGATGGTAACTTTCACCATCTTCCAAACGTTTGCTCTGAATTAACTTCCCTGATTCTTGAGCCTGCTCCGAAGTATCTCAGGAGCAAGGAACGTGAACACTTCACACAGTATAGGTAATGTAGGGACCCTTTTGCAACAGTATATCATGGGAGGAATGCCACATGAATACACGGTTCTTTTCTGAAGAGCCATGACCCATGATCCATTTCTAAAGCATCACAATAAAAATAATGCCCAACTCAACAAAATGGCCTTGAAAAATGCCGAAGAAATAGTCCTGCCATCCACAAGCATGACAAACCAAGTGATTAGGTTATTTTTGAATCTCTCTTATAAAGTACTCCAGCAATGGGTAATGCCAGAGATAGGGAATAGAGTTTGCCTGAGCAATGTCCTGACAGACACCACCTCCTCTTCAAACCGGGCACCTCTGAGTGTTCTTTGTAGCCTTGCTTTGAAAAGCCTTTTCCTCACAAGCAGGCATTTAGCCTTTTTGTATGAGCAATCCTGGCTGTTGCTGAACACCCATCCACTGGAGGAGAGGAAGGCAGGATCAATTTGCGGGGGTTTTTCGTGCAACCTGCCCATAATTAGCCCCAAGCAGTGGCTGAGTCACTCCAAGAGTGCCGGGTGCTATTAGGACCAGACACGCCACGGCCCGGTGTATAATTATACACCAGCCACCACCAGGAAACGGCTCCATTTACTATCTGACCCCATTAGACAGAAGCTGTCATTTCTTCTTGGCTACCAGGGCTGTGGGAGCTCTGAGGAACACAAACCGAATCCTCACAGTCCAAACTCACCTCTTTCTTGATGAAACCAGCAGATGCCATCCTCTTTCCTGGGTCACCTGTGAGCTGCCTGAGAGCTCACCTATAGGCAAGAGGAAAATGGATGTGTTGAGACACGGCAACCACTGGATACAAGGGACATGGTTCTTTTCTGAAAAAAGCCATGACCCATGATCCATTTCTAAACATCACAATAAAAATAATGCCCAATTCAACAAAATGGCCATGAAAAATGCAGAAGAAATAGTCCTGCCATCCACAAGCATGACAAACTGAGTGATTAGGTTATGTCACTTGAGAAGTGACAAAGGACAGAGTGCAGAAAGTCTAGGAAACACAGCATGCCAATAGCATCTATTTCATCAGAGAGCAAGCTCAGTTGGCCAAAACACACAAGAAATCACCCATAGCTGGCAGGGCTGTACTTGAGCTGCAGCTGGATTTTGCAGCTGCCTTTTCCTATCAGGGCATTAAGAAGAAACTCCTGGCTTCAGCAGCATCAGCAGGGTGGCATTCCCCCCTGGCACAGCTCCTGTGTGGGGCACAAAACTGAACCTAGTCCCTGCTGCTGAGCAACCCAAGCCTGTTCCCTCCTGCAGCTGAGATCTCACAGGCTACACACAGAGCCTGAGCCTGCAGAGGGCCCTTTTGCTGGTCCCCTGAGGAAAAGCACAAAACAGGTCTGGGTTTTTGTCACCCCAGGTTGCCAGCCTGTCACACGCAGTTCAAGTGAGGTTTGCTGGGAGGGGTGTGTGATGCTTGGGCTGCTGCTGATGCTGCAGTTCAGAGAAGAAACATGCAGCTCCAGCCTTGAGCTGCTACTCTGGCACCAGCACTACATCCCCTTCGAAAGACACAAATAACCTCGATGGCTCTGGTTTTTAAACAAGCACTGAAAAATTTTTGCTGAAAGGGACAGTGGGATAAGGGAAACAGGATGTCAAATTAGGATCAGCTTGAACCATGTCAAATAAACAACGAGGAAATAAAATGTACCCTGATTGCTGGCAGGCTTGAAGGCTTACAAAGTACTTACCCCACCCAAATCAAGGGCTTGAAATGGAGCAGCAGTGGAACAGAAATGCCTGACAGTGTAAGATTTGCTGTTCCCTAGTACTGCTTTGCCATCCTCAGGGACAGAAAAAGCATCATGAGGGTTTAACTAGAGCTGGATGAAAACATGGAGTACCCCAAGGATCAATTTTCACTGTGGGCAGCTGCAGCACGAAGCATTAATTCTTCACCCTTTCTGGTGACAGGAGAAACGCAGGGAGCTGTAGACACAAATAATGTTAGACTTGTAATATGTATTTTGCAGTGAAGTGCTTGCTTTACTTCCTGTTGTTTAGAACTGCATTTATTCTTTAGCACTGCAAGAAAAACCTCCTGTATTTTGTACTGGGTGCACATTTAAAGGCCCATGTATTGTAGACTCAGCAAGTGGCAGGGCAGATGCCAAACCTTGCTTCCTTTTTGATTCCTTGATGATTTAAGACCTATTTTCAGCAGTCAATACTGGTCTCCCCCCTTGCCTTTTTGCTTGGTAACTACCACTTCAACAAAATGGTGTTTGTGCATTGTCTTGGAGCCAAGAATTGAGCTTTTTAACATCAGACAGGGAATAGAATAAGCAAAGCAGGACTAAAATCACCTTCATGCCAGTTCCTTTCAAGCACATGCTTAGAAATATATGGCAGAACCCTTGAGTTCTTGCAGAATAATAATTTCACTGCTAGATTTTTCCTGCATAGCTAAAATTACTTGCATGTTTCTAATATTTGTGTTGTTTACCTTCCCCCAGAACAAAGTTTGAAATTATTCTATGAATCTACAGAAATCAGTAAATTAAAGTATTAAAAATATTTTTTAAACCCTGCACTGTGTTTTTAGACATTTTTCAGACTTACTGGCTTTCCCTGTAGGAGTGAACCTATTGATGCAAAGTATAAACAGGAAAAGATAGTGTCAGATCAATGATTTATTTAGGTGCAGGCTTCCTTTAGGAAAGGACAATTCACTTTGCCTCTACTAATTTGCTAACACGTGAATTAAATGAAGAGTTGGTAAAAAAGTGTACCTAGAGCCATCAGCATGATTATCCTCTCTGATCTGGTAATAGTCTTTCCTCAGAATTCTTCTGTTGTGGAGAACACAACACTTGGCTTAGTAAATAAAAGCCAGCTTCCACTTATTTTTACAGCAAATAATTCTATATTTAATGTAGGCCCACAAGATGCTGGCATACACCTTGTTGCCTTGTTAAAAGAAAGAACTCAAGTTTGCTAAAAACAGGAGTTACTAGTAAGGATGAAACAAAATTGTCCCAGCAGAGGACAGAGACCTGAAAATAAAAACTGAAAAGGAGATGACTTAAGGGATTTTCAGTAACGTTTAAGAAGTAAGAGTAACCTTTAGGTTTAATGAGCATTACAATGCATCAATTACAGAGACATAAGTAATTTAATGGAAGAGTGTTCACTGAAGAAAAGTTTGGTCACAAACTTCATTTGCTTGGCAGGGCAAGGAACAGCATCCCATAATTAACAATTGTGGTCACAAGTTGTGTCCAAAGCTTGCTACCTCCTTGCAGCACATCTTCTCACAAAGCTAGAAAGGTGAGCAACTCCCACTCTGCACTGACAAAGAACTCTGGCCCTCATCTCCATGTCACTGCTGCACAGACACGGTGCCAGAAATGTGCTTCAGACCTGCACTGGTGACCCCCAGGTGCTGCTACGGGTTTCCATTGTTTCTCTGGTTAAGGGTGCTGCCACAGAAGGATGTCTGAGCTGCAGTGCCTACTCATCACTTACATAGGTTTCTGAGCTCTGCTGAAATGCCAACCTTGTATTAGGGGGCTCTGCTCTATGGAGAGTACTTGAGATTTAATCTTCTCTTTCCTAGGTAAGAAATCTCTGTGTAAAACCACCTGAAGTGAGACTTAAATACTGCAGTTCATCTAAATCTCATCTACTGACTGATTCACTGAAGATGCTTACTGCTGTAGGTTCCAGGTGGGATGAGAGAAAGAGAAATACAGAGGAACATCCCTAGGGATGGTTTAACAATGCACAGATCTGTGCTAACTCCAGCAATGATCTCTTCTCAAGAACTGACTCAGGTCTGCTCTCTGTATGAATGGGAGGATGTTCAAGGACAGTGACAATACCAAAATGTGCTGATTCAGGAAATGAAAAGTGCCAATCAACAAAGCAGTGGCCAGCACAATGGAAAGATCAATGAAAGCCAAGCAATGTATGGTATAATTACCTTTTATTTATTCCTCCAGCTGTTTGTCCAGTCTTTCCAGCAAGTTCACAAAAAGTCTGACTTTGAATCCATAAGGTTTGGTATTACTTCTAGGACAGTAGATTAGGTATGCAGATGAATGAAGGCTTGACTCTAAGTTTGTGATTTAAGGACCTTTGGAAAACTGTGCATTAGTAGAGTTTAGTAACTCAAGACTTACTGCATTCTGTCAGTCAAAACCAGGACAGTGTAGAGTTTAGGCTTTTCAATAAATACGCAATATTTCTGTTTTTCTCCTACGTTTTGTGGCTCTGAAAAGCCAAGGAAAATAGCCTAGGTCTGACTGCTCCCTTCAACTGCATATATCAGATAATAGGGAAGGAAGAGCTGAGAGTCTCAGTGCCATTAAACTGGCCATAATGGAAATTATAATAAAACAGGAGATAACAGAAATAACTCCAATTCATCAGATCCCAACTTTCATGGCTACTTCAGTGGATACTTGGTTTGATATAAAATTATTCAAATGAACCCTCTCTTCTGGTATAGTATTTATATGGCAATTTTCCTGGAGAGAAGCTTCCATTCATTTCAGTGTCTCTCAATACCCCATTTGGAGAGCTAACACTCCCAATACTTCTGAGAACTATTAGAAAGGGATCCATAAAATACCAGGTCAAAGAGTGAAGGGTGAGCTTGAAATAAAGAAAACGTTCATTTAGTGTAACAAAATGCCTTTTCTTCTATTCTGAAATTTTATAGGCTTACCTTAAATACAAACAGTACAGTTTTTCATCTTTTCTACCTTTTTTTTTCCCAAAATACTAGCAATTGCAGCATGACATTAAAATTAGACTGAAACTATTGATTTGTTTCTATGTATGTTGTGAAAAGTTGGTGAAACTGTAGAATTCAACACAATGAATTGCTGGGTTAGGCTTCTTGTACTCTCAAAATATTTTCTTACATGGCTTATAAAACTCTTTAATAATAAAGCAGTGCATTGTCCAAAATGACTAGGATTGAGGTGAAGGATGCATTTTTGGCTGAGAATAAATCTAAATTCTGAAAAGTGGACCTCTTTTCAAACTATTTAGCAATTGCTAGCCTTTGAAGTATGGTAATTTCCACAAAGATAAAAAAATAAATAACTGATGCCACTTGGGCAATCAGGTATATAAAGCACACACTGTGTTCATGGGGCAATCAGTACAACACTGAATCAAAGACAAAGTTATAAAATGCAAGATTCCAGAAATGTACTGATGCAACCTAAGGGTTTGGTTTATACATTTTGAAGATGTCTAGAGATTGTTTCTAGCAGATTTTGAACACTATGAGAACAAATGCTTTTCATTAGCCATCTTCTTCTCCCACCCCATTCACATGGTTGGCTTATTCTTGAATATGTGTCTGTGGCTTTGGCTTTTACCTGAAGAAATGTAGATGTGAGATCATCCCAGTATATGAAACACTATTTTGTTCTTAGTCACATGAGGTTGTTCAGTTATGATTTTGCTATTCCCATAAAACCATTACCTTCCAGATCTGCTCTAAGCATGCAAAAGCCTCATGCAATGTCTCCACAGAGGGAATTCAGGCTGAGACCTTTGAAACTGGTGACAGTCTCAGATAACATACTGAGACTCACAAAGGAGTGGGTCACAGGACAGAATATGCCTTCTCTGCAGACTTACAATAAAACTTCTTATTCTTATATTTATTCTTACAATAAAGATTTTGTTTGCCTCTTAATTTGCAGCCAAGAACTTCAGTGTTAAACATAAATTAAATTTTGCCCACAAACTAGCTAAAAATACTTGGAGTTTCTAGAGGTGAATCATTTGCATAATTCTTAATTATTAAGCTTCACTACACAAACCCCATCTGTATTTCCTAGGTGAATATAAACCCTGAAAAGCACTACTTTTCATGTGAAATAACAAGTTGTAGAAAGGGTAGGAGAATACTGCCAATCAAGTAGCTTGACGAGACTTGCTTGTGATGCTATAGTGTATAATTTAAAAGAAAATGTTTTCCAGTTCCACTGTATCATCTGTATAAGATTTATTTAGTTCCTTGTATTTAGCAGAAGTAGGGCACATTTTCCAGATACCATTTATAAGCCAACATACTCTGTTAATTTTATTCCTTACTGGAAAGTACCTTGGTGTATTCACAAATTAATTGGGGAAGTGACATCGTGACCATTAGTCCCAACTGGTGTGCCTGACACAAGCAGGAAAGAAAGGATGAATAGGCAGGATTTTGCATTTGGCATTTCACAAATAGGGGAGGTAATGTTTCCAGTTATATACACTTAAAAATATTTTCTGAGAAGATATGCTGAACTTAAGCATTAAGCTAAATACCTATATTATTTCATCAGCCCTATATTATTTCATCAGCTATTTTCCAAGACATAATTCATTCTTTTGTTGAAAGTTTGCTTCTTAGCAGTATTTATCTTATTTGGAAAAATTACAGGTCTATGAAAGAGCTTTATTTTGTTATACTGGTTTAAATAACTAGTTACTTGCATGTTGGTACTGAAGAAGTAGAACTTTTTTGTAATGGCAAGGGGCACTCCTTAGGAAAACATCAAAATTATACAAGTGGAAAAAAAAAACAAAGTGTAAAAGCCTAACCTTTCACATAAGATGAGCTTTCAACAGAAGTATTAAAAAACCCCAAACTTCAAACACTTTGCCATATTAACTTCAGACCAACTGGCAAGGCACTGAGAATTGAAGTGTGCAATTCATATCCATATCTGTGAAAGTAACACCCACACCGAGACACCAAACCTTCAAGGCAGAATATGGCACTGGACAGTCCATTAGGCATTCCTGGTACATACAGCAGTTCTATGCCTTCTTAGGATAAGCTGAAAATGTTAACTAAATGTACACATTGCATCATATTTCCATAGGGAAGAACAATCCAATTTAGACCATCTGAAGAAAAGGAAACAAGGCATAACATACAGGACATTGTTGGCACAAGAAAGTGTTATCATATCAATACACGCCCTTTAAAATTTAATCCAATAGATATATAAAGGAATGGTGGAGGCAGAGGCAAAGGGGCAGGACTAATAGCAAATATTCAGTTCTAATCATGCTAGTGAGGTTTTTGTTTAAAAAACTGAAGCTATCAGAACCAGTTCAGAGGCAAGAAAACACCTATCAAGACAGTCCAACCCATTTCCAGGCATCATTCTTCTTGGCTGACATGTGCAGTCTGAAGGATCTGTGCAGTATAGTTTCCATGTCCAAAGCTGTCTAAAGCTTCCCATTAGCAAATGCTGCCTCCTGGAACTGAGGGACAAATGTCTTGAAATATGTCCTAGTGAAGAGAACAGAAAATATATGATTAGGAAGGAGTAATCTTAAAAGCATGAATTGAAGAACTTGATGTTTCCCATGTTTCCTATTTCCCCTATGGGGAAAAGGCTTCACATATGGTACAGAAGGCCCAAAGAAAGACAAGGGAATGGAGCAGGGAAATAGTGAAGTCAGAATACGTGCAGGAGATAAGCTCTGTCTCATAAACCTTGACACAGTACTGACACTACTGATGGCAGCAGTTTATATACAATCCAGTAAATAAATACTAACAACATTGTATGAATACTAAGTCCTTTTGTTAAACTTCAAAATTTATAGGATAATGCTCTTTTTTAAAGTGTGCTTTGTATATTTTGCATCTTAGTCTATCTTCTTTGCAAAGGATCAAGTGACTCATAAATCCATAAGATGAGCTAATCCTATGTATCCAAAATTGAGTTAGAACTGTACCTTTGAGGTTTTTTTGCTGAGATACTCAACCATATAATAATGGTATATTACATGTCCTAGGAATGTCCAGTTATATTAGAAGTTGCTTTATCATTCTGCCTTTGGTTTCTGCCTACTGTGTTTTGCACCAAACTTTCAATTTCTTTATTTAAAAAAAAAAAAAATTGTTTTCTATTTCTATCACTGGTCTCTATAAATTTCTCTCCTGTTCTCACTGAGAAGAAATTTAAAGTGAGAATAGCTGCAATGTTGTTTATTAGATTCCTGATGTCTCTGCTGGTTTATCTCCTGAAGCAAACACACATTGATCAGCTTCACAATCACAATGTTTTTCATAACTGCAGTAGAAGCTTTGGCAATCACTGAACAGCAACCATACTTCCTCACACCTAAAATCCTTGCAAGACCATGAAGAGAACACTCCTTTCTCTTTGTGATGTTGTGCCTGGCAAATTAATTACAGATAGCTGCAGTCAGCTTTTGTGCACAAGACATAAATACATATGAGACGCTGTCCAAAGGTTAAAAGAGCAATAGAAAGTAAAAGCATTTCTGGACTGAGGAGCTGATCCCAGAAATGGAAACAACCATAATAAAGAGGACAACCAGCACACACATTTTATAGCATATACAGATTGTGCTGTGTGTTTACAGAACACACTTTGGTTTATTGAAGCAAAGTTCAGAAAACAACACTCCTAATCATGCCTGCAGAAGTGATTGTTCATGCTGGCACACACATGAACATAAACCAGCTGAGAAGGTCTGCCTGTCCCCTGATCTCAACAGCTGGGTGCCATTTCTGTATCTGTGTTTTTCCTACCATATCTTTGAAATTGTAGCTTTTTTAAGTCCCTTTTAATTCTATGTGTTTTGCTAGCTCATGGAGTACCACCTGCACACTGTCAATACCAGGATCTATCCCTTTTACTTGTCCTTGCTTTATCTGTCCTAACATTTAATTATGCTTCTCTGATTGCCTATTTTAAATAGCTTCCCCCTTCCCCTTTGATAGCTTCTCTGCAGACTCTCTTCCATGCACGTGATCTTAATTGACTTGATAAATGTTACTTGAAACCTCCCTCTTCCAAAACTGTAGAAATAATTAATCATTAAATGGGATACAATTAGAACTATTTTCCTACATTTTATTTCTTTTTCTTTATAGCATTTCTGTGCTTTGTGTTAAACCCACACTTAGTGCATTATATGCAGTAATTATATATGTCTTTTCTGTTAGGTAAATTCCAGAATGAATGCTTATGATACCACAAACATCCTCCCACACCAACTTTATCTACACTTGCATCCTTTCTTTTCACTGATTCCTGCAGGAAAGTTTGCATCCTTTACTGCAAAACTAAGTCTAACACCTCCCTACATTCTGATCAGATGTACTGTTTCAAAGAGGATGTTATTTCACACTGGTAGTTCATATGAATCTCTTGGCAATGTTCCATACACTACAAAAATTCCTTTAGTACTTCATAATTTTAAATGTCTACTTTTTTTTCTTTTTATACCTTAAAGTACATACTTAAAGTTGCCCATATAATTTTGGTCTTCTCCAATCTGAAGCAAATGCAGTACCACAAGTGTACTCAGGTTCTGTTCCAGAAATAGGACAGTCCATTTCTGTCCCTCTCACATATACCTTAAGTATCTCAGATGAAACAAAATCAGAGATAATTATGGTTCATCACACATACCACAAAAAAATAAATTAACACTGCTCCCTTAACCTCCCCAAACCAAACCAAAAAAAGCCCTGCTATGAGATCCAAAAACCCAGTATACCTGATAGGACAGGCTGAGCTACAGCATATTTAGGAGATTGAGGAGGAAAGATGGAGAAGTAGGAGAAGGTAAGTGAAATGAACACTGGAATTTTTTTTCTCAATTTTTTCTTTTCATCCAAAGTTTGGGACAAAATCATGTGTTACAATATCTGAATTTCCTGTGAAATGGAAATGACAACATTTTAATTACAACAATCTCTGCAGAAGTCACCAATAAGGAGGAAAAGAAGCAGCAATCACCTTCTGAATAAGTTTCATCTTTCAACCATCTGGCATTGAAGTCAAAATGCACTAATTTCTGCCCAAATAGGACCATGACACAACAGATGACATGAAATAATTCTGAGAGAAATTTAAAATTTTTTGAAGGACAATCGTCTGCTATAGACTGAATGGTAAAGGCATCTTTTACATGCACTGCTCTTCCTTATAGAAAGATTTTAAATCAAGAGACAACACTCATGCTCCAGCATCCTGTACATACAGGCACAGAGAAACAATGAACATGAATATGAACTTTGGAAAAAGATACATTCCTCATACTCTATTCATATTAACACATTGATTTCATACCCTCAATAACTATGATCTGGGCTATACCATAAGGATTCATATAAAAGTATCTGAAAGTTTTTTTTTCAGAAACTTTGCCACATGATACTCTCAAGTTATCTCCAAACTATTTTGAAATTATTACTTTTATATACACTAGATATGTTTTTCAGCTGTGGAGAACTGTTATCTAAAAAACTCAACAACGGTAATTTAGGTACCTGAATTACACTGAAGATGAAGAAAGCTAATTTGACCTATAGTCTCTTGGGGCAAAAATTGCTCTTGATCAATGCCTTTTCTCCTTTCTGGGAAAGATGGAGATCCTTCTTTCTCTGGCTTTCATCTACCATGTTCTTGCTGGGTCTGTATCACACTGACCTTCTACCAAGCTCAGAAGACCTGCATAAATTCTTCTGTAAGTACAGAGAGAAACTCATTTGTACAAAGTACACAGATATTCTTCATGTGAGTGTTGAGTACAATCAACACTCATGTAAAGAAGGTAAAACACATGTTGAGTGTTGCATCCTTCTCACAATGGTTTAGATTCCAGCTTAAACAGTGTTTAAAAAGTTGCTTTCTTTTCAGCCTAGAGTGGGTGCCAATCTTCATACACTTATGGGCACATAACTCTTTGTTGAGCTTCTTATAGGACTCCATTGTTTTTTGTCTATTCGTTTTTGTTCCCTCAAATGGTCATTTTCCAAGTTCAAGGTAGTAAGTTATGAGGTTTCTATGGAAATTTTTCTTCATCACTCCAGAAAACAACACATTTTACTGTAGTTAACCACTATATATACTTGACACAGTACAATGAATTCCAGGTGCTATACTCAAGGACGTCTGTTGAGAGTAAAGCACTTCTTTTTCCTTCACTTTATTATCCAGTGGAAAGAAAGTCTTGCTATAATTGCAAGTGGTAAGTATTTAAAAGAAGGCAGAATTGGCTCACCTGCTGTTTACATATTTTCCAGTGATATGAAACACTGAGTGTGGTACAAGGTCTCCAGAAGCCCATACATGTCTAAATCCCAGGGTGTGGGTTTGCTGTGCTTAAAACATATTTGACTCAGAATTCACATGCTTTTGTGAGAAATTTCATTCTAATTGTACTGTTTTTTTTTTCCCCAGGGAAACTTAGTGCTGGGTTTTTAAAATGCAGTTGGTAGAATACCTGCATTGACTACTTGATAATACCTTTTGCCTTCACATATCTATGCTAAAAATCTGCAAAGATTGAAAATTATGTAGCTGCAATCTCCCATCAAACAACACTTCCCATATATTTATGGTGAAAGCATTCTAACACACTGGAATTCTGCTGTTGCTTTTGCTGGACTGGTACTATAGCCAGCTATACAATTGTGTTCTAGTTACTCCTGCTGGTGTAATAAAGTGAAAAAGGTTGTTTAGGTGTTTCTATTTCTCTTAAAATCTTCATGTGATAATTCAGAGCAGAAGATCAAGACTCAAACTCTGTGAGGAAAAAAGCATACAACACATATCAATGAGATTTCTGCTTTTTATGTCTGGGACAAGAAAAATCATCATGGGGTGATGAATCATCTTCCCAAGTAATTCACAAAATATCTTCCCCTTAAACCTCTCAGTTTATAACTGCCAAGATTTCCAGCATGCTGATCTCAAATTCACCCATGCTAGCCCTATTTGCACTCATTTTTTTTTATTTGTTTCAGCTCAAGATGTGGGACTTCCAAGTGCTTTTTGCATCAAGAGACAATTTGAGGAAAATTAAGGGGATGAAATCATCATGATGGTCCACATCAAGAACAGACTTAGCAGTACAGCAACACTTCTGCTACCAGCACAATGTCCTTATTGGCAAATTAAAGCCCTTGAGGCACAATCTTCATCTTCTCACAAAGACATAGAGGCCTTCTCTCACTGCATCAGGCATATGTATTGTGTTCCTTCTCATCTCAAGGCAGACTTGCATTTGGGTTTTTTTCCTACTACTGGCTTTGAGAGCAAACTTTATTCTTAAATGCTACCCATTATTTCAATATTTTAGTTAATTCTTGTAAAATATTTTAGTAAGTACTGTAAATGTGGTTTAATTCTGTAAATATCTGGCTCTAATTATTGACCTGAATCATAGTAGCCAGTGTATTTGACAAATACATCCATTTTCTCCTATTCTAGGCAAGGCATATATAATATGTATGAGTTCTTT